TTCAATTTTTCTTCAATGCACAGGAAATAAACTTGTGTTTCTGAGCTGCACAAATAAAAGTTAATTTCCAACTGGCTCAGCCAGTTTTTAACAGGCAGGAAAGGTAGTTGCTCTTGGCTTTTCTCACCATGGTCACGTGTTGGCCATGTTCAGTCTATATAAAGACCTGATCAGCAGACTTATTAAATTCTGCAAGCAGAATACTGCAATGTTGATCGTAGAGGGGATACAACCACTAAATTATAACGTGTAAATTGGCTGCTACCGAGGACTATCGTGTCTAATAACCGGCCTTTATAACATAAAATTATATTTCGGGTCTGTCCAATTAACCTTATAAAATAAGGGTAGTGTAAGTGTGTGAATAGGTTATTTTGTTTGGAAAAAATTTGTTTTCCAAGCCTAATCTGCTGTGATCAAAGTTTATCGTTTGATTTAAATTATAAATTTATTAACGAGCCGGAGCTTCACTTTTAGCCCTGGCTAAAGCTATATATTAAGAACAAACAATCGTCAAGAGTAAAAGAATAAACAACAATGTCGCCATTTCCAGGTTGCATCTTTCTTTTCGTGTTCTTTTTTCTTATTTCAACTATTCAAATAATAATCTGATTCGGAGATATAATAACAATGTTATGTACAGTGTACGTACAGTGTACACACCTATATAACATACATTTGCTTCGAATTATTAAAAAGGCCTATTAAAATCGTCAATTTATCCCAGAAAGAAATTAAATTACATGATTTCGAGAAGTTGTATTGGCTCAGGACGGTTAGGAGTTTCATTTCAATTCACAATTCTCGCCAAGAAGAAATTATTCGATGGAGCGTGGTATCCAACGAGGCAGATAACACACTCGGAGATCTGCATTATTCTTCAGATCATACGAAAGCCGAATATAATAATTGTTTTATTGCTCATTTAAGATATTTCCAATATAAAAACATGCCCATCTTGGCAGTTTCAAATTACTAGGGAGGGATGTACATTTTAGCAGACATTCTTCAAACCCCGAAATTGTCATAGATTGAGTGATATGTTTAGACAGTAGTTTGGTTGTCTTCTGCGCATACAAACATATATGCATACAT